AAAAAGTTTTTCCTATTGAAAGTCCCATCCGTGGACACACTGTATACTGGTATATTATAATTTGTTAAATAATATATTTTACCTCTTTATTTTATATAATAAAATATCCTCAATTATACTCAATAAAAAAATCAGCACAAAAACATTTTAAATTTCCTAAATTATCTAAGAAAAACCTTGAAGGACACGTGTTCTTTTTGATCAATTAACTTCAAATTTTACAAGAATTTTTTTTTTAATTTATTTATTGAATAAAGATAAAAAATATTTGTGAATCATTTAAAAATTATAAAATGCATTTTTTTAATTAAATTTTACATAACCTTTTTGAACTTTTGTTTTGTCATAATTTGAGTTCTTATGAATTTTTTTTTTAATTTTTGACTTTTTTTATTTTTTGAAATTTTTTTTATTCGATTTTATTGAAAATTTTAATCATATATTATATCACGAGAACTATGAATTTAATCGGGTAAACTAGGCTCAGTAGTTTTTTGTTTGGTTTTTGTTGGAAAATGTTGAATGCAAAATAATTTAATAAAATCACGAGACCGCGTAACGGTCGAGGGGTTTTATTTTTAATTATTTTGCATGAAACTATTTTCCAAAAAGAAAAATCAAATAAAAAACTTACTGAGCATAGTTTGACAGATTAAATTTATAGGTTGAGTGATATACGTTTAGATTATTTCTCGAATTAAAGGAAACTATTTGACCATTCATAAAATCTGACGTATGTGTCAAAGTTTATAAATATTTTTTTAAAGAAAATTCCATTAATTTAAGGTTTGTAATAAGTAATAATTGATATTTCGTAAACTAGATAACTTATTTTTTATTGTTTTTTAAAAATTGTTTGTTAAAACTTGTAAATAACACCATAAAATATAATAAATAATATTATTTAAAATAAATTGTATTAAATAAATAATTAATAGCTATTTACATACCATGCCCGACGCGAAGCGAAGGGCATTAAATATTCAAGGGAGAAAACGCATTTTCCTCCTGAGGTATGTATATAGTTTTTTCTATTACCTTTTAACGGTTTTAAGACATTTTAAGCGTTCCGGTTCCTTTTACTAACCCGGTATGGGGCTATAAAATTATGACAAAATATTAAGTAGTTGTTGCGTTGACGACGTTATGTTGACAACGCTTTGTTGATATGGTATTTTTGGAAATACAAACATAACCGTTTTTATAATCTGTCAGAATGTTTATCATAAATTTGAAATTCTTTCTACGTTTTGAAAATGAGTTCTAGCTAAGTAGACCTCCCTCTCTTTTTTTAACAATTTTACATAAATGTAAAATTGTTAAAAAAAGAGAGGGAGGAAATTTTTTTTCCTCCCGGGGAAGAAAAGAGGCATTTTCCTCCCTCGCTCGGGGGTGGAAAATTAAGTTTTCTAGTAAGGTAGTAGAAAAACGTTTTTTGTGTAGATAGATATATTAACATCTGATTACAGTAATTCCTTAAATATAATTTCTGCTTCGTATTCGTCTCTAAAGCCACTATATTATTATAATATTTTTGTATACGTATATCCTAATAGATTATAGAACCTATATGACTAATAGGACAGATTTTTAGGCTTTTTACTTGAATTTTACTTACCTTTTAAATTATTATTATACCTATTATTATTATTATTGTAGATAGGTTTAATAATAAATTAAAACCAAAAATTTATTTTCAAACTTTTTTATTCATTACAAATGTTCAACACAAAAAACAATTAAAACAAATATCCAATTCAATAATTATTAAAATGTAACCACTACCTCATTTGACAACAATAAATTATGTAATAATATAGTAATAAAGTAAATATAAAGTTTACTGAATACAAAACAATAAGCAGTATTATATATAGATAATACAAAAATAGGCTATTTAAATATTTTTTTGTAATTGACATAGGCAAAACTATTGCTTAAGTTAAAATTTGAAATTATTCTTATAATATTTCATTAATACAAACATTGTTTTACAAATCACTGTTTAAATAAAAAAATGCCATTATTGCTTTTGTAATTGTATTTTCCCTTCCAACGAAAAATACAACTTAAATTTATCGAAATAAGAGCTTTGGACAATTAAGAATGTCCGAATGTTTAAAATATTTATCAGTAATCATCCTACATCCACAAATACATAAAATGTGGGCGATGCATTAAAGAAAATTATGCTTTTTAATGCGCAAAGTTAGCTACCATCTGATAATTGACAAATTTAAATTTTGACAATAGAAAAAATACGCGGAAAAGTAAACAAAGATTTTTTATTATTTAGTGGATTATCAAAGCACAGGTGTTGCACACGTATAGTTAGCTGACAAGACTAAACTATTCGGCATTAAAATGGATCTAGCAAAAGAAAAAGGATTTCATTCTTATAATACTTTCAAAATCAGGGATGAGGATTAACAAAAGCAAAACAAATATTTTTCTATGACCCCTATGTAAACATAATTTCGTAAGGGCATCGTTGCTTAGAAAATGATTTTTTTTACAAGAGCTCGATTTCTTTGAATTTGCGTGATTTTATTAAAATTTAAACTGTATTTGTATTGGTACCTATGTCATTTAGAACACAATTAATTGTGTTTTTATAATAAATTATAATTTTTAAATCATAAATTAAATTTAAATCAATGTAAAAAAAAAGACTTTTCATAAAATTTAATTGGGACTAGATCAGATTACATACCACGGTTAATTTTATAGACGATTTCAGAAAAAAAATATATAATCATCGAAAATTGTGTTTTTGGGTTTGTCCGACTCCCAAGTAACAGGAAACATGAAAATTAAAATCCTTCATGTAGGGCATTTTAGATAGTGGCCCAAAAATATGTCAAAAGTTTGTAATTTTTTCTAAACACTAAAAATATTAAATTAAAAAAAACTTTTTTTAAGGATAATCTCGAGGATAATAGAGCGTTTAATTTTAAGTTAAAAGCGTCTCAAAAAGTTTTTTGTAGATCCTATACTTTTGTTCTAAAAAAAATCTTACTTACACTCACAGGCAAAATAATCGATCCACACAAATTTTCGATGAATTTCAATCGCAAATAACTTTTTTATTTGATTTCGGATTTAAACGAATATTAAACAATAGTGTGGATAAATTAATGGAGAATCGCTTAAATTTTAAAAAATTACTAAAAATAGACGAACGTTTATAATATACAGGTTTAAACAAAAATATGTTTTTTACCATAAGTTTAAGACACTCTGTAAAGTGGCAAAACAACATTGCATTTTCCAATATTTTTTTGTTCGAAGAACCAAGGTTGCTATGGTCCACCCATAGCCTATGGAGGATGACAGTGATTGTTTTGTTGAATCATCCCATACTTGGACATTTTTTTGTAAATTAATGTGTTACTTTTGAGGTGTTTTCTGGTCTCAGTATTACCTGGATTGTACTTGGTTTTGGGTCAGTTCAATGTCCCTCAAAAACCAAAATTTTTCCCTCCTTTTCCGCACTCCACTAGCGGACTAGAGATTTACCAGCCGGGGTAAAAATTCGGCACCACCAAACACAGGCAATGCTGTGCAGTGGCGGGATACGTGGGAGAACTAAAAGGGGGTAAAATAACCCTGGGAAATCAGTATAAGGCGTTGGCGATGGGGCCAGTCATACGTTCGTCATATTCGTATTCAACAATAAAATAATAAAAAACTTATGACACTGTTGTCGCCCATGTGCGATATATATATTCGTCTTTAATGTATTAAAGTTTATACATATGGTTTTAGGAAACAAATACCTCAATTTGTTTAAGTATTTTGACGAAGTAGTTTCCAGTTGCTTTGGGAAATCTCTAAGTATAAGTTATGCCGAAAATATTCAACGTTTCGTAATAGAACTATCTAAAGTCGGAGTACGGTACACAACAAAAATGCATGCCCTAGTTCATCATGTTCCAGAGTTCATTGAAAAATACCAACGAGCACTTGCCTTTTTTCTGAACAAGCGTCAGAATAAGTGCATCACTATTTTAACGTTTTCAACAAATTTTAATTTAAATTCAAGGAATTTGCAATTTTTTAAAGAAAAACTTTTAAGGAGTATTTGTTATTATAATAGCCAGCACATATAATTACATGTATTTATTTGTACATTAAAACCTATTAAGTTAATTGAATATGATTAATATGTATTATTTTGTGAAGTAAAAAAAATCAGAAATTTTTTATAACAAAACTATAGCGTCTACAGAAAACTTTATAAGACGTTTTTTACTTAAAATTAAACGCTTTATTATCCTCAAAGGAAGTTTTTTTAAAATTTAAAATTTTTAGTTTTTACAAAAAAATTAAAAATTTTGACACATTTTTGGGCCACTATATAGAATGCCATACATGAAGGATTTTATTTCTCATGTTTCCTGTTACTGTGAAGTCGGATAAACCCGAAAACAATAGTTTCGATGATTATATATTTTTTTCTGAAATCGTCTATAAAATTAACCGTGATACGTTAAGGGCGTGTCTGTAAAGTTACAAGATGTTTTTGTAATAAAAAGTAATATTACATAATATGGGTGGTCTTATTATTTAAAAGGCATTTTAGATTTGGCCATAAAATTTAATTAGACCAGATTAGATTTCAGGCTTTAAGGGTAGACCTAGAAAAGTTACAAGGTATTTTTGTAATAAAAAGAAATGTATGCCTAATATGGGTGGTCTTTAGTTTTGGCTTAAAAGTAAATTGATACCTTAATATTTCAAAAATATTCCGAGTTATTTTTGGCTATTATTTTACACCATCTACCCTACTTTCTAATATAGCCAATGTTTTTACAATATATCTGGAGGGGATGTTAGAATATTTTAGGGCAATATAAATATCTGTTTTATAAAAAAAACCTTAGTTGAAAATTATTAGTGCGTATTCGATAAATATAAAGATATACTGAATTTTAGGTTTCCAACTTTGGATCTTCCTGATGTGCGCATTGCGAAATCACTGACTTCGCGTATGGATCATGGTATACAGGCGTATCCATTAATAAACAAACCACCTCGCAAAGGAGATTTTAGGATGCAGAGGCTGAGAGACAATTGGCGACCTAGATCTTTAAAAGCTTTCTGGGGACGCCGTAATAATATAGAGAGCATTACAAGGATTTTAAAGTTTTTCTTTGTGACCGACAGAAAGTTCGTTACAAATTATGCTAACATATGTGCCACTTGTTATAACAATTAGAGTTATTAAATAAGTTTAATTATTTTGTTTATACTAGTATAGGATATAAGCTTAGAGTATCTTTTAATAGATTTTATAATTAAATATTAAAAAATATGAATGTGTACCTATTTGTATTTATTGAATATAATATATATATATATACATATACACATATATATTTATTTTTAGGATGGTTTAAACTCTGTTAAAAATAGAGGTGAGAGGGATGAAGATAGAGTTGGAGTGGTGTTCACCAACGCAGAGTTTCCATATCGCCCCTTGGCAATTAGTATAAGAAAAAGGAGTCAAATAACGGCCTCACTGATTTTGGTTACTCTGGGCAAGGTTCTACAGAGCAACGCTAGTTTTTTTACCAACAATCGACCAACTCTATCAATCGATAGGGTTCAGTTACCGGTGGGACGTGGCAGGACGGCTTTGAAGGGCGACACGTACGAGCAATTCTGCAAAAATAAGAGAGGTATCGTAGTTGTTACGGACAATCATTGTCTCGCCTATGCTTTACCGTTAGGTATAGCCTATCATAAAGACCGAACCGATTTTAAAAAAATTAATTTAAAACTTTTTTTAAAAGTACGCTGAAGAGAATTATGTATTGCTTTTGACGTGAATCTCTCAAATGGAGGGAGTCTTGTTAAATGTTTTCAAGATAATTTAGAAGCCTTTTCGATTGTTGTGTACAATAACTCTGAACTCTGAAACATATTTTGAAGGGGCTCGAAGTGAAACGCGTAAAACTATAAATTTAATTTTAGAAGACAATCATTATAACCTCATATTAAGTTTAACTGCAGCGTTTTCAACCGTGTACTTTTTAGAATCATTTAAAAAACGTTTTAGTAATAAAGAAAGGCATGTTAAATGTCCCTATACATGCCCTAACTGTCATAGTAAGCCTCCATGTACTTTCGAGGTAGAGGAGATAAACTGTGAAGATTGCCATAGAACATTTAAAGGTATCGCGTATTTAAATACACATAAGGACAAACTTTGTTCGAAACTACAGTGAAACCTGTTTGTCATTATTGTTAAATACAACCAAATCGCATAAGTGATAAAGTAAAAAAATCGCTCGAGAACAATTTTTTGTTTCTCTTTTAGGACTTTGAGTTCATGCAGGAAAAAGAATTATCCAGTAATATATTTTTACATGAACCAAACTTATGTGTAGTACAGCAAGTTTGTTCGAATTCTATAACGGTTTATGACATAGATTAAGATTGTAATAAGTTTGGCAAACAAAAGCATGTTTTTTCAGAAGATCTTGTTGAATCACTTTTGAATTTTCTACACGAATTCGAAAAGAATTTAATGCACACAAGCTGAAAAGTTTAATAAAGAAACTTGTTTTTAAAAATGTAAATAGGTGGAACCCTACCATTGTGAGAAACGGTTGTAAATTTGTTTCGATAACTTGCAATAAAATTAAATTTATTGATAGCTTAAATTATATGCCACTGCCTCTAAATAAATTTCCAAGTGCGTTTAAATTTAACGAAGTGAAGGGATATTTTCCACATTTATTTAATAGACGCGAAAATATTAATTATGTAGGTTCTTTACCTGATCCTTCTTTTTTATGCCTGATTCAATGACATCAGATGCTAGAAATAAATTTTTCGAATGGTATAATAAGCAAATATCGAATAAGGTTGTATTTAATTTAAAATATGAATTAATTAAACACTGCATCTTAGATGTGGATATTTTAAAATAAATTAAAAAAATAATAAAAATTGAGAAAATATAAATTATTGATAATAAAAATCGAGTTACCGCAAGCCAATCAAATGGGCACTGATTATTGGAATCTAAATCTAAATTTGATTGCTGTTAAATTAAAGCTTGAAATTAAATGTTCGTATTCGTTCTCCAGAATGATATGGTCGAAATGTTGAGAAGCCATCAAACTGCACTATTTAATTTAAAATCACAAATATTGTAGTAGTAGGCGCGACGTGATACAGTATTTGTAAAGTTTGTTTCAACGCGTTCGAATAAACACGTAACGAAAATGTCTGCAGAGGAGCTTAAGACTCAACTTGCGGCCTTACAAGAGGAGAACACGCGATTAACGCCTATTTGCAAAATATGTTGATACATTTTTAAAAATAAAACAAGAGTATAGTGGAGTCGAAAGACGCGTATATTCAATCATATTTTGACCATTAGGGTATTAAATTAGATAAAACAAAAATATGTCATAATCCGGGTATGAGATTTATTGCAAAATTAATGTTAAATAGTTTTTGGAGTAAATTCGGGCAGCGAGAGAACTTAATGCAGGCGTCGGTAATCACTGAACACATTGAACTATTTGACATGTTAACAGACCCTTCTGTTATTGTTAATAATATGGTAATTGTTACTGATGAAATGCTTCTTATGTGCTGGACTAAACACGAATAAGCAGTTTAACCATTAACAACTATTAATGTAGCAATAGCAGCGTATACTAGAGCTATGGCGCGATTGGAGCTTTACTCTTCTTTAGAAAAACTTGATGGACCAGTACTTTAATTTTATACAGATAGTACATATTATATTCACGCATAGAGAGGGTGAGTGGATGCCTGAAGTAGGCGACTATTTGGGCATGTATCGAAGTATTTGAATATGGCCCTTAGGGTGTGCCAAAAAAACTCGATATTTCTTTTTTCTTGCTCTCCACCCAAAATGTTGTAGAATATGTCCGAACAAATATCCTGTTAAAAGCGGAGCTCATAATTTCAATTTTAAGAGGTCCTCCATCGAATCTGAAGTTTTGCCGCTTAAATAGCACAGAAAACTGACTTTTTTACCTTATTTATTCTTGCAACCTAGGAAGAATTTTTTGTTCATAAAATTCATGACCAAATCTTACAAAGCATTAAATTTGGACGAAAAAATCTTACTAAGCCAAATTTCTATTTTCATTATTTGATTTTTTACAGAGCTTTAAATTTAAAATTTTATGTTTTTTGCCTTTTTCAGCTAAACTATTGAAGTTAAACGAAAAAGTCAAATGGCAATTTTTTAGCTTGTCTGATGGACCACAAAAAAGTTTTAAGTGAATATTTTGTATCGTCAATATTCTAAAAGTTACAGGCGTATAAATTCAACATTTTTGTATTATTAACTTTTTGTGAGTGAAATATTAATGTTAGCACAAAAAGTCAATAAAGAATTATAGAAAAAAATTTTCGGAAAAATTGTCCTAATAAAATTTGATATACTGTCAACCATTAAAATTTACAAACTTATTTAAGCTTATTTCGAGGGTTTTTTACGTAAATCACATAAACAATTGACAATAGATGCAAAATATTATAAAAATTTTATGTCTTATTCCATTGTTTACAGTGAATTATCGCTTAAAATACTAATAATAATATCTTACTAACTATTATTGACAATAATTTATTGTACAAAAAATTATATTAAAAATTATATTAAAAATATTACATTAATATTCATTAATAATACACTTTATACGCCTGTAACTTTTAGAATATTGACGATACAAAAAATTCGCCTTAAACTTTTTTGTGGTCCATCAGACAAGCTAAAAAATTGCCATTTAACTTTTTCGTCTAACTTCAATAGTTTAGCTGAAAAAGGCAAAAAACATAACATTTTAAATTTAAAGCTCTGTAAAAAATCAAATAATGAAAATAAAAATTTGGCTTAATAAGATTTTTTCGTCCAAATTTAATGCTTTGTAAGATTTGGTCATGAATTTTATGAACAAAAAATTTCTTCCTAGGTTGCAATAATAAATAAGGTAAAAAAGTCAGTTTTCTGTGCTATTTAAGCGGCAAAACTTCAGATTCGATGGAGGACCTCTTAAAATTAAAATTATGAGCTCCGCTTTTAACAGGATATTTGTTCGGACATATTCTACGACATTTTGGGTTGAGAGCAAGAAAAAAGAAATATCGAGTTTTTTTGGCACACCCTAATGGCCCTGGTAGTAAAATTACGGAGTTTTTTAGCGGTGGGCCTAAAAATTAAGCTTACAGAGTTTATATCGCGGATAAGAAAGGATAAGAAAGGATAATATATTATATTATAAGTCTATATGCAAAGAAAATGGAATAACTCTTAATTCAAAAAATAGTGAATCTGTAAATTTTGAAACCTTAAAAGCCAGGGTATGTGATAATGCTGAGCCCACAATACCCGTTAAATCTGTATAATGGCAGATTATGATGTAATATCGCGATCAGAGTCAAGAATCTATAAAAAAGTCTATAGAAAAGTCTAAGAATTTGGCTATAATCATATCAATGATGAAGACAAAGAGGTATAAGAAAATCGTTTTTTATATTAATAATAATAAAAAAGGCCCATTTATTTAAGTTGGAATATTTCATGGAATTATTATTAATATTTTAATTTAAAATTTATTAGTTTTTTAGATGGACCTAGCAATTGATAATACTGCACATGAAGAAGAAATTCCTTATTTCATGGATGGGTCACCCATCATGGGTGGACATTGTAGATAATAATGGGTCATAAAAAAGTATTTATTTAGTACAGCAAGTTTGTTCGAATTGTATTCTGCGCCAACCTTCGACTGCTTTACATCGACGACCTCTAACCGGGGTTTAGATGCTATTTTCAAAACATATTTACTATTTTATATTTTTCAATATTACACCGAAGACTTTTTTTTATTATCATGGATCTAGTTTGGGTATCTTTGATTCGTAATACGAGGAAATCTAGTGTTGTTGAAGATAATACGCACCAACCTAAAACTTTAAAAACATTGTGTAGGGAGGTTATCAATACTAAAATAAATACTTGTGAAGTGGTTGAGGCTAAACTAAGTGAAACAGTTGTTAACGAGGTGTTTCAAAACCGGGTTCAAGACTTCGCCATGAGTTTTAATTTGGACGACTCTGTGTTATTTAGAAATATATTCGGCCCCATAACCGATTTTTGGGGTGAAGAAGCTTTGAGGCGGTTTTGGGGGTTTAGGAGTGATGGGGTTATGATCGAATCCATATTCGGATCGTTATTACCGGCCGCAGAGCAATTCTGCGTTACAGATAAGTTCTACCATACGACCTATGGTAGAGTGTGCGAACAATGCGTACAGCAGAATTGCCTGAAAAGGGTTCCGGAATTTCGTATTAAAATGTTCAGCAGGAATCATATCCCTATGCTGTTAAGCGAAATAAGCGATTTGGTTCTGCACCCCGACAGCTGGTGCAATTTTTGTACCAGGCGTCTCCTCGTCTACATAGTGCCATCGAATAGATGCCACATGGCATATGTCGTAGACGGGGACCCTGACCCGTGTGAAGAAATCCACCCAGCAGAAGGGCCGAAGAGGACCAAGACGTTGATGATGGTTTTGAAGAATGGCCATAATAGTTTAAATACATATTTTAGTTACAAATATTCCTTCCAAGAGCCCACAACGATAGATAGGGTATGCAATAGGGTAATTAGGAATTATTCCTCCTAAAGGTTCCGGAGGTAATACTCCCCTCGGTCCGCACCTGACAAGAGACGTCTCCCGGGGCTAACCAGCAGGAACTGGTCATGGCGCCCGAGCACCGGACTTGGACCCCAGACAAGTCCACCCTACACCTAGATTACCCAGGGCGGACTTGGTAGTGTTGCTCGAGGAGCTGGCAATCGGACTCAAGGAGGTGCCGATGCAACGCGTGGTCTTTCCGACCTACCAAGGGGAGGACCACGATAATCCGCAGTTTTTCCTGCGGAAGATGGAGGAGACCCTGAAGAAGAGGCGGATCCCCACGGAGGAGTGGGCCTTCCACGCCCTGGGCCAGATCAAAGGCACCCAGGAACAACCCCTATAGAATATTTTTTTTGTATTTAAGTAAAAAAACTTGAAAAATCGTTTAAAACAATTTTTTTTTGAAACGCTAATAATACAAATAATAATAATGGATATTGCATACCAAACTGTGAGTGCTAAGTCTAGCAAATTTGGTGTGGTGGCTGACGGAGTGCATAATCCAAAAACATTAAAAAGTTTGGCTAGACAGGTGCTAAACGAGAAATGCAGTGTGGAGGACATTGCAAAAGTGGAGTTACCGAGGACTCTAGTGCAAAATATATTCCGAAACAGAATGCTGGACTTTATACTAGGCTTCCCCTTGGTAGCTACCTTTTTACTTCGGGACCTGTTTGGCCCGATTACGGACCAGTGGCGTGAGGATGCGGTGAAGTGTTTCTGGGGCTACAGGGACAATAGGGTGGAAATTCAACGTATAATTATTTCAATATTGCCCAACGACCTGGACTTTTGTGTGCATTATAAATATTATGATACCTCGCTTGGAAGGATCTACGATTTGTGTATGCGGAAGGAATGCATACGCAAATTTGCAGATTTTCATGTAAAAGAACATGCTTTCAGACAAGTAGAGGAGCTAGTTGACATTTTCTTGCACCCCCAGAGCTGGTGCGTTTCTTGCACGAGGGGCCTCCTATTTTATAATGGATGTAAATAAATAAATGAATAAATAAATAAATATTGCAATATCAAACTGTTAGTGCTGTCCAGCAAGTGTAGTGTGTTGCTTAACGGATTGCATAATCCGAAAACTTTAAAGAGTTTGGCTAGGCAGGTACTAAACGAAAAATGCAGTGTGGAGGAAATTGTAAAGGTGGAGTTACCAAGGACTCTAGTTCAGGATATATTCAGAAATAGAATGTTGGACTTTATACTAGGCTTCCCCTTGGTAGCTAGCCTTTTACTCCTGGACCTGTTTGGTCCCATTACGGACTATTGGCGTGAGGAGGCAGTGAAGAGTTTCTGGGGCTACAGAGATAATCGTGTGGTGATTCAACGTATAATACTTTCAATATTGCCGAACTCCATGGACTTTTGTGTGCATTACAAATACTACGATACCTCGCTTGGAAGGATCTGCGATTTGTGTATGCGGAAGGAATGCATACGCAAATTTGCAGATTTTCAGATGAATGAGTATGTAAAAGAACATGCTTTCAGACAAGTAGAGGAGCTAGTTGACATTTTTTTGCACCTCCAGAGCTGGTGCGTTTCTTGCACGAGGGGCCCCCTATTTTATAATGGATGTAAATAAATAAATGAATAAATAAATAAATATTGCAATATCAAACTGTTAGTGCTGTCCAGCAAGTGTAGTGTGTTGGTTAACGGATTGCATAATCCGAAAACTTTAAAGAGTTTGGCTAGGCAGGTACTGAACGAAAAATGCAGTGTGGAGGAAATAATCGTGTGGTGATTCAACGTATAATACTTTCAATATTGCCCAACTCCATGGACTTTTGTGTGCATTACAAATTCTACGATACCTCGCTTGGAAGGATCTGCGATTTGTGTATGCGGAAGGAATGCATACGCAAATTTGCAGATTTTCAGATGAATGAATATGTAAAAGAACAGCAAATGTTTTCAAGACTTGAGACCATTAAAGCCAAGCACAAAAAAATTGAAAAAGCTGGGTATAATTTAATAACACGTAAGAATTAGAGACGCCGGGTATAATTTTGTAACGATAAGAGAGTGCGATTTTCAAGAGATGTTGAGAAATGTTGATGAATGAAGAGCTATTGTCAATAATAATTCGTATTCGATAAATATAAATTTTATTAAAAAAAAAAAGGTGACCTCTTTGCCAGCAAAGTTAAGTGTTTTATGCAGACAGAAGATCAACACAATGTGTCCACATATAGCGATTTTTAACTTTAACACTTCGGTTCTTCCTGATGGGCTCATTGCGGAATTACTGACTTCGCGTATGGATGATGGTATACAGGCGTATCCATTAATAGACAGACCACCTCGCGAAGAAGTTTTTAGGCTGCTGCTTTCTGGGGACGCCGTAATAATGTTGAGAGCATTACAAGAATTTTAAAGTTTTTTTTTTAAACGATACTGAATTTCATGTGACGAACAGGAAGTTCGTTACCATTTATGGAAACATATGTGCCGATTGTTACAACAAATGCATAAGGTACATGAATTAAAAAATTTTAGGTGCGTGAAGTGGACTCTTATTTGGATATAAATGAATTACCACATATTTTTTTGCAATCATCCAATTGGTGCAATTTCTGCAGGGAATGTTTATCGTTTGTTGTATACCCGAAAAGATTATATATTGAAGTACATGGTGTTGTGTACTAATATAATAACCATTTAATTTAATTAGAGTTAATAAAATTAATTATTTTGTTTATACTAGTCTAGGATATAAGCTTAAAAAATGTCGTGTAGTTTTATTTATAGTTAGTTAATTAGTTTTAATTATTTTGTTTATACTAATATAGGATATAAGCTTAAAACATCTTTTAATAGATTTTATAATTGAATAATAAAAAAATATGAATGTATATACCCAGCTCACAAAGAAGATTTTAGGATTATGAACATGAACAAATACTGGCCAACTAGAGCTTTAAAAGCTTTCTGGGACGTCGTAATAACATGAAGACCGTTACAAGAATTTTAAAGTTTCTCTTTAAAAGAAATCGTAGTTTTTTTTAGACGGAAAAAAAGTTTGTTACAAATTATGGTAACATATGCGCCGTATGTTATAACAAAAGTATCAGTTACATACATTTTAAAAATGTTCAGTGTTTTAAGAATGCCATAGAGCAAACCCGTGTACAACTAGCATATATTTTTCTGCAAGCATCTAATTGGTGCAATTTTTGTAGAGAGTATATATATATATATATTATTAGTTTTTCTATAAATAAACTGTAATGGACCTTAGAATAAGTTTACATTTCAATTAGTTTAGTTATCATTAACATAATAGTTCTTGTTTATAAGTTATCATTATCAAAACAATTAAGAATTACAAATAAACAAGAACTACGTGACTAAACAACCTCACTACCCTGTTTAGTCACTAATATCCATATATAAGTAGATACAATGGATGTTGGGTAGTTAGTTAGTTATAGTTAGTTATTGTAATATTTATGTAAAATTTAAGTTAAGTTAAGGTTTAATAATAAAAGTGTAGAAAACCACTCTGGTGTTTTGATCCTATAACAGTGCCATTACAAAACTTATAGAATTTGTAGTTTTTATGTGACAGAGAAAAATAATTTTGGTAACATGTGTGCTAACTGTTTTGATAGTAATTTTTTGTGACGGAAAAAAGTTTGTTACAAATTATGGTAACATATGTTTTATGTTACTGTGGTGATACACCTTCAATATTTCAACACTTATTTTTATACTCTATACTTATTTTTATAAGTTTTATGCAGACAGAAGGTTAACACAGAGCAAGATATTAAATTTTAAGTGAAAATTTGGTCTCTTCCAGAGATGTTATCAGAGGAAATACTAAAATTACGAATGGTTGATGGTATTCTTTCTTATCCGATATTTAACGCTCCCGTTTGCAAAGAAGACTTTATAATGATATATATTGATGATACTTGAACTACTTAAGCTATTTTAACAAAATGTTCTTGGCTTTTAAGTTTACTGTTTAATGTAAAAATTTCGATTTCATTATTTTATTGTTTAAAACTTAATTTAGTTGTACATTGTTCCTGTAACTAAAATGTTTAGACCTTTTAGACACGATTATGCATTTTTTGTGGTCATTTTAAAACAAATATCGGTGTGATACTCTTTTTCCCTGGTCGTATCTTCCTAAGAGCCCCTTGTTTGTTGTAGAACGTTTGTAAAGTAAATTAAATTGGGGTTAACGAAACGTTTAAAAATAAAACAGTGTAGTGGCTGGCCCAGCTGGTGCACTACGGGTACATTCAATTATATTTCGACCATGACGGTATTAAATTAGATAAAACAAAAATAGGTCATAATCCGAGTATGAGATTTATTGCAAAATTAATGTTAAGTTAAGTTTTAGGGTAAATTTGAGCAACGAGATACCTTAATGCAGACATCTGTAATCGCTGAACCCCTTGAACTATTTGACATGTTAACAGACCCTTCTGTTAATGTTAAGAATATGATAATTGTTAGTGATGAAATGCTTCTTATGTGCTGGACTAAACACGAAGAAGCAGCATCTCCATTAAAAACTATTAATTGCGCGATTGGAGCTTTACTCTTATTTAGAAAAACTTGATAGACGAGTACTTTACTTTGACACAGATAGTGTTATATTCACGCATAAAGAGGGTGAGTGAATGCCTGAAGTAGGCGACTATTTGGGCATGTATCGAAGTATCTGAATACGGCCCTGGTAGTAAAATTACGGAGTTAGTTAGCGGTGGACTTAAAAATTACGCTTACAGAGTTTATATCGCGGATAAGAAAGAATATAAGTTTATATGAAAAGTAAAGGGAATAACTCTTAATTCAAAAAATAGTGAATCTGTAAATTTTGAAACTTTAAAGGCCATGGTGTGTAATAATGCTGAGCCTACATATATCCACAATACCCGTAAAATCTATTAAGGGCAGATTATGATGTAATATCGCGATCAGAGTAAAAAATCTATAGAATATGTACTAAACGGCGGAGAATAGATAATTACGATTCCGCTTCGTACATAAAATAAGATTTGTTAACATGAGTTTGTAGTTAGTTAATTTTATTTTGTAAAATTTTTACAATTTTTTTTTATACAACCTGGGTTTGTAATTATTTTAACAAAGGAAAATATTTTACCGAAAGTTTTGTAAAGGTAAAATGCATTCTGTTAATTTCAAAGGTTACAGATTATTTTGTTAATGTTTAACAAATTATTCCGTTGAAAAAGTACACGTGATTTCAGGCAGCCAATCAAAACATTTCCAACACACTTATCAACAAGTTGTGTCAGCGTCAACGGATGTTTATAATAATTAACGGTGACAGGAGTGTTTATACTGTCATTATTGGTTTTCAAATTAAAATTAGCCGATATAGTGAAGTTAAAGTAAATCAGTAAGTGTTTTAGTAGTACTAATAATTATAATTAATTAACACATACCTACATAAATGAACACAACAATAACATACACAAAATTAAATAACACAATATTTTGAATTCATTAAATTATAAAGAAATTTCGTACAATATATATATTGTACGAAATTTCTTTATAATTTAATGAATTCAAAATATTGTGTTATTTAATTTTGTGTATGTTATTGTTGTGTTCATTTATGTAGGTATGTGTTAATTATGTTTTATTAAAAAAATTGTTTAATAAAGCAACATTTCTTATAACAAATTCTCTTTTTTAAAATTCCCAATTCACAACAAATACTTTTAAAAAAATTATGGTTGAAATTGACATGGAATTTTGTTATGAAATCTACAAAATATCTGTAATAATTACAAACTACTTATTGGCCCCCTAGATCCCTTGATTTAGCACCATGCGATTTTTTTCTTTTTGGTTATATTTGGCATAGACTAGAAAAATCAAATAGTTGGCTATTCGCTTTACCACAACCAACTAACTGTAAATTGTAAAACTTACACTAATACAACCATAATTTCAGATAATCCTAATTTCGAAACCAATATTAATTCTATAATCCCTAGAATTGATCTATCAAAAGAATGTTGCAATGAAAATGAAAAAGATAAAAAACAAAACAAATCCAAATTATTTATTCCTCCGATTCAAGCAATAAATTTAGATAAAGATACTTTAAAAGTAGCAAGTGACAAATTAGATAAATTGGACAAATTAGCAGATGAGTTTGAATCAAAATTTATTCTAAAAGACATTGTAAATAATACATATTTCTCTTATATGTTATTAACCTTAATTAAATTATTTATTTGTTTTGTATTCTATAAGTTATATAAACGCTGGAAAAAGACACCATGCGGCAGACAATTGACCCATGGATGCCAAGCTATTACTAATATTTTAACTCTAAATATTTGCAAAAGGCCTAGGCCTACTAATAGAAATTCAAACATAGAATTAGAAAATTGTAGTGACGAACCAGGCTCGTCAAACTTAATAAATGAAGAAACTGTAGAAAATAAATCAGAAACTCCATTAAGAAGGAGTGCCAGGCTCATAATATTTGATTTTATATTTTGTAAAAACAATGTAAATACTGTGTATTTTAATAATAATCTTGTTTATTTGTTTTATTGTTTGCAGTTCCCAAATGAA